GCTGGTAGTTTGGGAGAGTAAATGCATGAATAAATGAATGAAATAAATCATTCCGTGTGGGACTGCGTAAGGGTATCCTGGGTCATGGTTGAGCAGGTACCTAGAACCCCGAGATTCTCTGTGGAATTCTGCGTGAGAACCGGCAGGAGTTCGGTCCCTCCCATCATCCAAGATCCTAAAAGCAGTTACATAGATCTCCATAGAGTCACATAGGCCAGGCTATAGGCCTCAGGCCCTAGGGATTTACATACTAATGAAGGCCAGAGGGCAGAGCAAATTAAACATGCCTCCCCCCAGATCCTCCCCCAATCCTCCCCCTCTTCTCCCTCCCTGTATAACTCGGGACTGCCCTGAGTTTTTGGGGGCGTACGCCTAGATCCATCTATTATCCGTCATGACAATAAACCTTTTTGGAACTAAGGACTTCTTTGTGTTACTGGGGCCTGCCGCCGCCAAGGTCCTCAGGCCACTGGAACCATAGGATCTTCTTCCCTAATCTGGGACCCGCCATGGCAGCGGAAGCCCCTCTGGGGCTTGCGCCGCTCTGGCGGCCTTTTTAAATTTTCCCCACAACTCCGCCATCTTAGTAGAAATCACACTAGTCCAACTTTACTATGTACACGCAAGACACCCTTGTATGGATTTTGCTGGTCATTTCAGACCAGAAGTGACAGAATGTGGATTGGGAAAGGTAGATAAACAATTCTCCCCCCATATTGAACCTCTAATATAAACAGCACAAGTCCCTCGAGTTCCGAACAGTGATGCTTGTCTCTCTTCTTCAAGTAGCTTACCTCAAAGCAGAGAACATTTTGCAAAAGAAAGCTGCATGAGCACAGCCCTTGATCATCAATCCCCGATAACGGCCCTGTAAATACAGCCAGTATCGTTCTTCTTCTGGAATCCCATACTCAAACTTCAGAGACTCAAGGTCTTCTAGCATATCCACTTCCATTTCCAAAGCTCCAGTTCCTGCAGTAACAGACACCGAACAACATGACTCCCAGTTCTGGAGAACAGAAGGGCTTAAGTATGGTGGTGTGTGTGACTAGCTCATGAGTTCTCATGGTGAGGGGCTTCAGCACCATTCTCCTCCCAGATTCTGAACTTGGGAGTTCACAGCTCTGTTGGAGTGGGGCCACAGAGGTTTCCTAATTACTTCCTAATCAGTTTCCGGGATTCATGAAACCTAAAAAGGAAGTCACAGTAATATTTATCTGTACTGACTACAGGTACATTTTTCAGCAGGAGTTATGAGAGCAACACGTTCCAGGGGTGTCCTTAGCTGGGAGCTTTTCCCTTCTAGTGCTTGAACTTCGGAAATATTGCTGATCACACAGGATTTCATTTCAAGGGAAACCTTCACTTCTGGTAAACTCTGTGTTCCCTGTAGGGCAGAAAAGAGCCCAATCTGGGTATCACCGATCCCTAACCTACAGCATGGACACTCTGAGCCTAAAAACTAAGTCTAGACACATCTCTCACTACAGAGACATGCTTTTACTCCTCAGGACTTCTGGTCTGGGCAGGTGGAAATTACAGAAGGAAAGAGCCACCCAAGAGAGTTGTCTTTATGACTCCTTAGCAACCCATTCATTCTCGCCTCTGGTCTTAAAGGGACAAAACATGCCTACAAACTTGCCTGGCCTGGATGCCAGGAGGACATGGTTCCTTTTATTGTAGGAATGCTAAACCAGGCCAGGGTGGGACTTGTTTTTCCTATAGAATATTTCTATATTCTCCTGCAGATGGAGTATCATATAGATCTTAGTAGTGCTTTAAAAAAAGAAATTGACAGAAGCTGTGAGATGCTAAGTGGGTAAAGGTGCTTTACAAGCAAGCCTATTGACCTGAGTTCAATTTCCAAAACCTACCTAAAGACCTAAAGGGGAAAAAGAGAATCCTCCACAAACGTTGTTGTGTTGCATCCTCTGTCTCTGTCTCGCACGAGTGCGTGCGTACACACACACACACACACACACCCCATAGCAAACTAACAATAAACCCAGACACTTACTTAATGTTTTTCCCCTGTAGTACCTAGGACTGGACCAGGACCTATGCATGCTGGGTAATACCGCCAGCCCCTGCCTGAAACAGTGACTCATTCAATGATTCAGTGTCCTATGAAGCTGAGATAAGAGAGATGTACTATAACACTCTAAAGGAAGCTTGCGGTGTTGAGGGCTGAACCCAAAGCCTTGCAGGGGCTAGGCAAGCACTCCTACCTCACGGCTACTCTAGCCCTTCGTACTACCCTTTCTCTTTACAGTCAATAATCAGTCTTGTAGCTATTGAGGCTGAACTCTAAGTTTAAAACTACTCGGTTTCTACATCTCTTCAGGTTAAAAAAAGGTGGTGAAATTCATGTAACATAAAATTATTCATTTGAAAATGAATGATTCAGTAGTACATTTAGAATGTTGTGTGACTATCTCACTTTTTCCCTAAGATTCATTTATTTTATTTATATAAGTACACTGTCTCTGTCTTCAGACACATCAGAAGAGGGCATCGGATCCCATTACAGATGGTTGTGAGTCACCATGTGGTTGGTGGGAATTGAACTCAGGACCTCTGAAAAAGCAGTGTCTTAGGGTTTTACTGCTGTGAACAGACACCATGACCAAGGCAACTCTTATAAGGACATTTCATTGGGGGTTGCATTCAGGTTCAGAGCTCCAGTTTATTATCATTAAGGTGGGAGGGAGCATGGCAGCATCCTGGCAGGCATGGCGCAGGAGGAGCTAAGAGTTCTACATTTCATTCCAAAGATCAAACAGGAGAAGACTGGCTCCCAGGCAGCTAGGACAAGGATTTTAAAGCCCATGCCCACAGTGATACACCTACTTCAACAAGGCCTCACCTAATAGTGCCACTCCCTGAGCCAAGCATATACAAACCATCACAAGCAGTCAGTGCTCTAAATCACTGAGCCCTCTCTTCAGCTCTATCTCATTTTTATACCCACAAAAAGAAATCCTACTTGCATTAAGCATTGACTCCCCATTCCTCTCCTCTCCCAACCTTCTGGAACCACTATTGATTCCTACGTACAGATTTATGTATTCCAGATAATTCATAAAACATAAATTGTACCATGTCACCTTTTATGTTTGGCTTCTCTAGTCCCCTCTTAAAGGAACGTGACATAGTAGGAAGTCACATTCTACTCTTGCAAGTGATATTTCCTGTTCTAAAGGAAAGAGGAACTCAAAACCTGCCAGACCTACATGACTAATACAGCATGCTGCAGACATCAATTCTAGACACATATTTGTACGTTCTCAAAAACGGGGATTCACTGTTACAGCTTTGTAACATGGCAACTTGGTTAGACCAAAATGCTTTCCAGAATCCCTTCTAGTTAAGAAAGAACCACAAGGGATAATGTTGCGAAGAATCTAGAATGTGGAAATGAAATAACCACCAGTTCCTGTTTTGGCTTGCAATGCCACATCCTTACTTACCTGGTTGGTTGCCTTGGTGTAGTTCAGCAGCTAAACCTGTGACTGCTCCACCTGTTCCTGATCCTCCTGTAGGGACTCACTCCTGGGCCAGGCCATGGCAAAGACCACCAACTGCTCCTGCAGAACAGTACTCTACTGAGGTTGCAGGCAGGCATTCTAGTCTGTAACTGTGCTGGGTGGTTTAAACTTGACATAAGTTAAGAGTTATCTGAAGGGAGGGAACCATAAGACTCAGCTGTAAGGCATTTTCTTAAGAAGTGATTGATGGGAGATGACCCAGCCCATTGTGGGTGGTGCCATCCTTAGGTTGATGGTCTTGGGTTCTATAAGCAGGCTGAGCAAATCATGAGGAGCAAACCAGTAAGCTGTGCTCCTCCATGAACTCTGCATCAGCTCCTGCCTCCAGGACCCTGCCGTTTCAGTTCCTGTCCTGACGTCATTGCTGAACAGTGATATGGAAGTATAATCTAAATAAACCCTTTCCTTCCCAGTTTGCTTTGGTCACGGTGTTTCATCACAACACTAGTAGCCCTAAGACAGTAACTCTCGGTTCTAGCCAAGCCATGCGTGTGTTCCTCACTTTACAGCTATCTTCCCTTCCTCACGTCCCTCCTTGTAAAAGTCAGTCTATGACCAGACACAAAAGCAACCACTTTATACAGACTGTTAGCTGCCATCTTGACTCACGTCAAATCCCTGTAACAAAGGATACCAGGAGGTTGGATAGATAACTATCTGCACCCCTAGTGGGTCTGCCTCTCTACTAAGTCTGATATGATGGCACATTAAACCCACTTCTTCAACAGTAAGAAATGACACTGAGGAAAGTAAGTGTGAGGCTACTTGGAACTGTAGATGACTACAAGATGCAAAAGATCCCTTTAATCTTTTACTTCTGTATGCAGAGTGTGTGTATAGACATGTGAAAGTCAAAAGACAATTTATGAGTTAGCTCTCAACTTCTACAATGGTGCAGTCTAATGATCAAATTCAGGTCTTCAGACTTGGTGGTGAGCACTTTTACTCAAGGACCCATCTCTAAAGCAGGATTAAACACTGCTGTTACTGTTTTCAGCAGGGTAATTCTTGCTGTGGGGGCCTGTCCTGTGCATAACAGGATATTTACCAACACACTCCCAAGTTTGGCAGTAAAAAGTGCCTTTAGACAGTGCTAAATGTTACCTGCAGCTCAGACTGCCTCTAGCTAAGTAGAGTCTTAGCCTAGAGCATGCTGTGTGCTGTATACATTACCTGTTTTCCTTCTCCTTCACCCACTTGTCACAGACTCTGGTCCTGTTTCTCTACAGATGAAGATGGATCCACAGATATGGGCCCTCTTCCTAGCACTGATATGTGAGCAAGACTGCTGAGGCAAGAACTCAGGTCTTGTGTGTCTTGGACTGGTGCTATTAACCATATCATCTTGCCTGGCTGGGACACTGTGACATTATAATGTGTTGTGATGACAGGCTGCTGACAGTCAGAGGTGCAATTATGTCATCATTATGGACTAAGTAACCAGATGGGGAAGAGGAGGCACCAAGAATGCAACAGTTTTATTAGGAGTGCAGGCATGTCGGGAAAATCCAGTTCAGGGAGGCAGGGGCAGAATGGAACATTGCTCAAGTCCCCAGCAGACCAACAGGGCCTCTATGGAGATATCTAAGTGGAAGTACTACCACAGTAGCCCAGGGGAGACTTGTGGCTGCTTCTGGTGAAATAATTTTTGCCTGAAAGAAGAGTGCTCCGGCACTGGTGAGTCTGAATTCCATGTAAAACTGTATCTGACACAGAAGCAAAGGACATGTTGAAGCAGATGGCTCACTATCCAACAGCGTGCAGGTAACAGAGAGACCCTAAGTCCCTCACACGTCCCTATACAAAGTTGACAGGAACAGCAGGTGGATACTGGCTGAAGGTACACAATGTCTAGGAAGTGTCTGCCATTGATGCATGGCTCTGTGCCTTGAGAGCTTGGGTCTGGTTTCCAGCAGGTCCTGAGCAATACTGAAATCTCTTCCTGAGGCCCCTGAAGAGTCAATTTAGTTCTGTTCTGACTCCTTTTAGAGCAGAATGCCCATGTCCAACACTAGGTTCTGGGTAGTAACAGCTGAAAGGACACAGGAATGTTACAATGTCCCCTGGACAGATCAGTCTGGACATGTGCTCAAAGGCTGGTTTCTGTCCCCAAACCAGCAGGCACTGCCTGTGGATGACAGGCTCACATGATAGAATGCTCTGACTCTCCCAAGAGAGCTCTCTGTTTTCATAGGCAGAAAAATTAAGAAGTGAGGCAGGTTTCAGGGTAGCAAAGGACCCTTAGTTCTTCCATCGAATTTGCTGTGAAAAAAGGAGACAAGGAAGGTATGATCAGTTATCAATTATCACTACAGTGAGGGAGAGGAAATGAAAATAAGGATTGCACTACGAGCTGCTGAGTCCTTTTGTCTGTTTGGGGCAGGGTGTCTCTATGTAGTCCAGTTTAGGCTGGAACTCAGTATATATTCCAGGCTAACCTCAAACTCCTGATCTCCCTGCCTTAGCCTCCAAGTGTGAGAGATTGTAGACATGCACCAGCAAAGAATTATTTTTAATTCTGTGTGTGTACAGAGGTCAACCTCACATATCAGATGCTATCTACATTAATTTTTTAAACAGGCTCTTTTATTAGCCTGGAACTTGCCAATTAGGCTGGGCTGACCAGTGAGCCCCAGGGATCTGCCTGCCTCTGCCTCCTCAGTGCTGGGAATTCAAGCACATGCCATCATGTCTAGCCTTTACATGGGTGCTGGGGATCAAACTCAGATCCTTGTGTATACATGGCAAGTACTTTATTGGTTAACCATCACCCTAGCCCTGAGAAGATTTTTCTTCTTAGTATGTGGGAGTTCATTTATTCAGAGAAAGATTAAATACCTGTTCTGTATTTTACAGATTGCCAGTTTAGAGCATTAATCTGGCTTCTGCCTTAGTGCTGAGATTCACTAGTATTAGGTGACTAAGCACAGGGATCAGATACCTAATATTAAGTTCTATGCTAATGAAAAGCTCAGTGATTTCACACATAACCAGGACTTCTGAAGGAGCTAATTCTATTTCATCCTTTTCTTATTTCCAACAGGTAGGCTACAGCCATGTCCTAGAGGGATCATAGGCCTGGCTACTGAGTCTCTATCATGTGCCCTGTGGTTCCTGCTCTCTCCTAGGTCTAACGATGATCAGTGTATTAGTTACGCTCCACATTGAGGTCTTCATATCTCACTTCAGTAGTTTTTAGCTCTGTGTGTCTGTGTGTGTGTGTGTACAGACACACACGAGCTAAGGACAAGTCAGCCTCATGTATCAGATGCTATCTACCTTGTCTCTCTGTGTGTGTGTGTGTACAGACGCACACGAGCCAAGGACAGGTCAGCCTCATGTATCAGATGCTATCTACCTTGTTTTTTGAAAACTAGCCTGGAACTTGCCAACTCAAGTCTCAAAAGTGACTTCTGCTGTACTTTTGCTCCTTCTGCCCAGAGGTGAGTCTTGTATCCATGTGGCTCAGCTATGTGCACCCGCCCAGGTCTTGGACACATATACTGGATGCCCCTTTGTGAACGTTCTCCTGTGCTGACTGGAGGGTACTTTACCGAGCTGCTGAGAATGACGTCGATCTTCTCTTCCTCGGCAGATCCTTTATCTACTTTGCTCCTGTATGCAAGCAACTGCTGACGATCCTTCAGGTCTCGGCAAGTCTGTACACAGAAACACAGTCAAGCGCCTACTCAGCCTTCTCTATAAAGAACCCTCTCTTTCCGCCACTGTTTCTTTGCCCCTGGGCTCAAGAAAAAGACAGCAGACAAGAGTGAGATGATGCGTATAAAGCACCCATAGAACCCCATGCTGGAGAGATGGTTACAGAGTTTGTATAGCTTCATTCAGTTCTAATGACTCCAAAAATCTAAAAGCTGAGAATTGAGTCCGGAGACCGGGAAAACAATACAGGAGAGTTGGTCTGCAAACTAACTCTTGCCAGACTACTTTGTCTATTTAGTCAAAGCTGCTGGGAACGATTCAGGGTCTGGGGCAAAGGTTGTATCCCTGACTCTCACCCAGGACCTAACTCAGGGCTCTCACTTCTTGGAGACTCACATCAATGACAACATCATGGCATTTGAACTTAGTAGCTAAGTTCAACTTTGTGTCCACATCTTCCACCAGATTGACATATTCCTGCAATATCTGTAGGAAAACAGTATTCTGATTAATGATAAAAACACAGGGCTCCCTGGGTAGAAAACATAAGTTCTAAACAAGGAAGAATTCAGTCCCCAGTGTCTGCAAAGCCATCATGGTTCTGCAGTGGGAAGTGAGGTGATGTTCAGCAGCACTTCTCTGCTCCCTCAGGGAAGAGCGTCCTCCTTACCCTGCAGCCAAGTACACGGGCCACAGTGCTCGAGAGATGGCCCAGGGTATGCCTACTGCTCCGAGGCCTGCAGTGAGTTCTTCTCCATCATCTGAACAATGCATACTTCTCTATACAGCTAAAGACAGTAGCTGTTCCTTAAAGACAGTCTGAAAATACTTTGTTCTTCCCTGCCTTTTTCTATCTCAGGCCCCACACAGCCACAGTGCCACCATTAAGAACATGAGGATAACTCACATTCCACCACTAGCTCTTTTTCACAGCCATTACCTGGACAGGGGCACTGTTCTTGTGCAAAATTTCCACAACTCGATGGAAGCCAATGGGTGCTCTCTTCTTGGTGTAACCCAACCAGTTCTGAAAAAAGGACAGCAATAGTTGGGCCACACATCATGAACACACTAGCCTCAGCTCACATATGGTTCATGGTCATATCAGAGAAGCATGGTAGACAGGCAGGAAGAGGTGAGGGGTAGAGAAATAGTGAGAGATGAATTTTTTAGGAAAACCAAGGAATGTAGAGGGTAGAAAAGAGAAAGATGTATAAAATAAAATAAGGTCTTTGATCTTAACAATAATGCATGGAAAACAGTCTGTGAAATGTTCCAAAATGGAATAAGTAATGAATAGCATATACATCATAAGTTTGTCAATACAAAAAGTACTACTTCTCCATCTTTACACGCATATGGAATTGTTTACTTATAAACTCATACAGTAGGATCTGGAAAGCTACTGACAACAGGGCTTTCCCTGAATGAGGCCGGAACAGGGAGATGGTGAGAAACGAGCCTCTTCTTAGTTACTTGTACTGAGAAGTGAGTCCAGGTTTTGCACATGTCTCCTACGCACTCACTCCACTACCCTCAGTCTTATATACTTACATACTTTTGTATACAGTGTTCAATTTTTCTATGAGTGTGTCTTGCTTTAGTAGTTAATATAACTAACTGATAAATAAGAAGAAAAAAAATCAGCAAATTCTCAAGGCTAGAATGAAAAAAATATATTTAGATTTTAAACCAACTTGTATGGAATCACAAAAAATCTCAAATAACCAAACCAATCCTGAGAAAGAAAACTATGAATGTGTACATGCGTGCACGTGCACACACACCACAGGGGATGATGTCGGATGGGTGCTATTAGTTCAAACTACAGTAATCATTCTATTATATAAATCAAAATTCCATACTGTACACTACGTAGTACACAATAATCAACTTTCTAATATGTATTATACATCTATGTATGTATATGGAGTGTGTGTATGTACTGTATATACGCGCATGTATAATATATAATGTATATAGGGACTAAAATCATATCTGAAGATTGGATAGATCACATTGGATCCTAATAAATTAAAATAAAAATATATGAATATAAAAATTAAAAACAGGGGCTGGAGACATGGCTCAGAGGTTAAGAGTATCTGTTGCTCTTGTGGAGGCCCTAGGTTTGAGTTCCAGAATCCACATGGTAGCCCACAACTATCTACAACTCTCACTTACATGGTACATTGAACCACATAAATCCAAAAACAAAAGAAAACAAACAAACAAAAACCTAAAAGCAGTAATGAGCTCATTTAAAAGTGATGTATATATGGCAGATATTTATGATAATATAATTTTACTAATATTAAACTTCTTGGGGCTGGAGAGATGGCTCAGTAGTGAAGAGCACTTGCTAGGTTTCCAAAGGACCTAGGTTCAATCCTCAGCACCCACATGGAGGCTCACAACCATCTATAACTCCAGTTCTAGGGACTCAATTCCCTCTTCCTACCTCCTTAGGCATGCAGGCTAATATTATGCATATAGAATAAAAGTAACTCTTAGAAAAAAAAATCACGCCGGGTAGTGGTGGCGCACGCCTTTAATCCCAGCACTTGGGAGGCAGAGGCAGGCGGATTTCTGAGTTCGAGGCCATCCTGGTCTAAAGAGTGAGTTCCAGGACAGCCAGGGCTATACAGAGAAAACCTGTCTCGAAAAAATCAAATCAAAAAAAAAAGAAAAAGAAAAAAAATCACCACTGTAAATTCATACACTTCAAGATAGATAAATAAATAAATGTCGTGAGATGCAATACCTATGAGACAAGTATATTAAAGGGGAAAGTGTTGCACATTCAGTTTACTTTCAAATGGTTCTGAAAAAAATATATATGTATTTGAAAACAAAGCAGCTAAATAATACATCAAAATGTTAATAAATTAGTAAGTATGAATAGTGGCCCCTATACTCTTCTTTCAAATTTTCCTTTCATTGAAAACTTTGGAAACAGGGACTGGAAGAAGCTTCATTGGTACCAGGAACTTACGAGACCTATGAAGGCCTTCTCTCTCCAAAGGCCTCACAAGCACAGGGTCAGGGCACCCACCTTTGTGGTGAACAGGGCATCAACATCATTCCAGGCTCTAAGCTTGGCACGTGCAGCCAAGGCTGTCAGCACATACTGTTTGTCTGGGATCTGAAGAACAGAAACCAAGAAACAGTAAGAAGATATAGAAATGCATCCATGAAATCCTTTAAAATTTTAGAAAAGCATATGTATTTGCTGATACCAATCCTGACCCTTAAAAGCAACCAAGCTTGTAGTCACCAAAGACCCTTTATCTTCCACACCCCACACCGATTACAATCAGGTTTTCTCTCACTTCCCACTGACTCCTGACTTTCAGAACCACAGTGTGTAGGTTACCCAGTAACACACACTCCATGCAGCACTACTTCACAGACCAGCCGATGCAATGCTACCTTGAATGTTTTCTTCAGGTTGATGGGACTGCTGAAGGTCCCCTAGGATGAAATGGGATAAGAAACTTTAGTGAAATCCCCAAATCCCTCCTTTTCTTCTGTATTACACAAACTTTCTATGTGAGTTGTAAAGCATTTAAACCCAGACTGACTTTATGGGAATATCTCGTCAGGTCTGATGGACCAGCACACATCCCACTGCATCAGGAAGACCAGTGAGTATAACATTGTGTCGTCTAGTCCAAATTTCTTGACTCATTTCCACTTCCAAAATTTCTTCCCTTCCTCCCTCCTTCATTATTTTGTTTTTTGGATTTTTTCCTTTCTTTTTTTTTTTTCTGTCTTTTTGTTTTTCTGCTAATCCAAATAAGAGAAAAGCATACTTATGAGGGTTACAATGTGGTGGTCACCTAGATGTGATGTCACTAGGCTCAGAGCCTGATACCAACATAAACTTTAAAAAAAAAGAAAGAAAGAAAAAGGGGGCGGAGAGGTGACTCAGTGGTTAGGAGCACTGGATGCTCTTTCAAAGGATCTGGCTGCAATTCTTAGCATCCACAAAAATACCCATACACATAAAAATTCTTTTTTGGACATATGAGTTATCCATAGCCATCTGACACTACTCCTCTTTATGCTACTGCTGCTAAGGGAGCCAGCACCAAAGACAGCACATGCTCTGCTAGGGTGTTAGCCACATATGGCCACACAAACCCTCATAAACCTTTGTCCCTCTCAGCTCACTCTTGCTGAGAAGCTTCTGGATGATTTCTGAAACCCACAGTGCTCCCCGTTCCCACTCCTCCTGTACCTCGGACTCCGTGTAGTGATAGATGCAGGCGTAGAAGAGCGTCGTCACCAGGGGCATGCTGAGAATGGAGGCTTTACGGGGGTGCTTCCGGAAGATATCAGTCTGCCCTGAAGACTCCAGGTGTCGGTCGTTTGCCTGTGGTGGAGTCAGCCAAGTGAGGAAAGGAACAGTGTCCACTGGGAGAGGCAGGAAAATACCTGCACTACTACAGCAGTTGCTTTGGATATCCCAGAGAGGGCTAAAATCCATAAATGGGGCATAGATTTTTAAGTTTAACTAAGATTTCAACAGCTCAGCTTGGTATTGCGTGCCTATAATCCCAGCACTTGAGAGGGGAAGAAGCAAGAAGATCAGGAGTTCATGGCTTCATTACACAGTCCAGTCTGGGCTCTATGATATCTTATCTCAAAACAAAGAAAAAAAATTCAAAAGAACAAAGAAAGGGAGGGAGGGAGGGAGGGAAAGATGAGAGGGAAGGAAAGAGGAAGGAAGGGAAGAAATCTGGAAGTGGAAATGATCAAGAAATCTGACTAGAGAATGCAGTAAATATTCCAGGCTGGCAGCAGGTAAGAGAAGAAAGGATGCCCAAGGATAATCAAGAAAATCTCAGAGAGGAAATACAAGGCTGTGCCAGACAAAGACATGAGCAGACTAAGGAGTCTCACCTCAATGATGATCTGGCGCTCTAGCAGTGTGTAATGGTCTTGTACATGTGCAGAGTCTTCTGCTGAAAATGGCAAACTGGTAAAGGGCCACAAGGTTAGTACTTTTTTCTATGTGAAAAGCAAAACAAACCCAACCAAATCAAATGATCACTAAAATCTTCAGAGCACACAGTTTTGAACAAGTTTGATCTCAATTCGCCTTCTGGGGATCCTTTAAGGCAGAGTAGCTACAAATGCTAGAGTAGACTGTGGTCTGGACATTGTATGTGAGGTTTGCTGATGGAGCTGGGGATGTCGCTCAGTGGGTACAGTGCTAGCCTAGCATGCATGAAGCCCTGGGGTCACTCGCCAGCACTGCATAGACCAGGTGAGGTAGTATATGCTCAAACCCCAGCTATCCCAATGTGGAGGTAGGTGAAGTAACATACCAAAGCCATACTCAACCTGGACCCCATGACACTCTTGAGAGAGAGAAGGGGGGTGGGAGGGGGGGCAGGGAGGGAAGACAGACAGACAGAGACTTTGAAAACTCAAAAGGAATCTTCTCAAAGATTCACATAATGTACAGTTGTAAGTGATTTTGCTGCAGAATGAGTATGAATCAGCTTGTTTGGGGAGTTACCTATTTGGTGAGTGGGTCACAAAGCTAGAAAACCAAGATAACTACCCATTGTCAACATGCCCACAGAGTTTGCTGAACTCTACTGAATCTGTTAACTACTTTTAGAGCAGAGTAGTAAAAAGCAAATTAAATTATATAGCATAGTGTAGATTGGAAAATTAACAAGGATTGCACCGATCTACAGAAATGCCAAGGACTCCATCTTCAAAACTATGTCTTTAGCCAAATACGGGGGCACATGTCTGTAATTCCAGCATTTATGAGGAGGAGCCAGGTCTAGGAATTCTTGATTACACAGCAAGTTCAGAGCCAGTCTAGGTACACGGCAGTGGAAGGCACCTTTAACCTTCAGTTCAGACCTCTATCCTTTAGACAGTGATGCCTGTTCCTCTACTCACTATAGAAAGAGTCCTGAAATCAATTACACTGACCCAGGGAACTGTGAACCCCAGTTCTCTATCTGATTAACATTACAATTAGGAATTTCATACACACTCGGATTCTAAATGTGACCATAGAAATCCTTCCATGAGGAATGGCTGAAACAAGTATGAACAATGACCCTTGAGAAGGAAGGTGTACTCGCTGGGCAGTGGTGGCGCACGCCTTTAGTCCCAGCACTTGGGAGACAGAGGCAGGTGGATTTCTGAGTTCGAGGCCAGCCTGGTCTACAGAGTGAGTTCCAGGACAGCCAGGACTACACAGAGAAACCCTGTCTCGAAAAAACAAACAAACAAGCAAACAAACAACAACAACAACCAAAAAAAGAAAAAACAAAAAAAAAAGAAGGGGTACTGAGAAGCCATGTAGCTGTCTGAATAGATACTGAGAAGCACATTTCAGCTTAACCTATGGAAGCACTTTTCTGTAATAAAGGCAGGTCAATAATAAGATGAGTTATTCTAAGAGCAGTGAGCATCCCATCAGAAGAGCAGTAATATTTGTGACTTTGCTTGTTTTTAATGAGGTCTTGTGTTTGGATGAAATCTTGCACTAAAAGCAGTTCTTGCTACTTGGGACTTCAAGACTTATAACAAGAAAAATGTTCAAGGTCCATAAACAGTTTCACCTTTTAATTTTTTATTGTAAATCATAAAAAAAAATTATCACCAGGGCTGCTGAGGTTAAGAGCACTGGCTGCTCTTCCAGAGGACCCGAGCTCAATTCTCAGCACCCACACAGCAGCTCATAGCTATCTGTAACTCCAGTTCCAGGGGATCTAATACCATCACATGACATACATGCAAGCAAAACACCAATGTATATAAATCATTAAAAATTATCATAATTTTATTGGCAATGAGGGGATATGTGAGAACCAAAGTTCGAGAACAAAGACAGTCTTTCTAATTCAATACTTTTAGCTTTAGGGAAGATCCTGTTTTCTTTATGTTTCCTTCAGTCAGTGAAAACTCTTCTGGAGACTAGGATTTGGGAGCCGCTGAGGCAGATGACCTACAGAGTACCCATGTGAGTTAGCCCTCCCTTCTGAAACATCCATCCCAACCTCGTTTCTTTCTCTTATTATATCTACATAAAACTACTTTCTCCCACACTTACCCAATGCAAGTCTTAAGGAATTCTTTTCGTTTTTCAGGGTCTTGAATGTTCAAGTGCTCTTGATACTGGGATAGCTACAAAAACACAGAGAAAAAAACTGAGCTATCACATATCCTTAAAAGAGAGACAGATATCACTAAGAGGTATAGCATGTGTCTAAACACACATCTGAGCACAAAGAGGCATATATATATGTGTATACACACACGGGAAGAGAGAAAGGGAGAGAAAGAGAGAGAGCACTAAGTGGATGCGTGTGTGTGTGTGTTTGTGTGTGTGTGTACTTGCCTGTGCTTGTGTATGTATAAGAGCCAGAAGCAAATATCTGATTTTCTCTCTTTTTTTCCCCTTCCCTTCTCCCTCTCACTCTAGCCCTGCTCGCTTCTGTCCAAAGGTTTTTATTTATTTATTATATGTAAGTACATTGTAGCCATCTTCAGACACCCCGTAAGAGGGCATCAGATCCCATTACAGATGGTTGTGAGCCACCATGTGGTTGCTTACATTTGAACTCAGGACCTTCAGAACAGCAGTCAGTGCTCTTAACCGCTGAGCCATCTCACCAGCCCCTGGTTCTTTCTCTATTGTTCTCTGCATTATCTCTTTATAGATTTATTTTAACTGTGTGTGCATGCGTTTGAGTGCAGATGCCTGAGGAGCCAGAAAACATCAGATCCCCTGAAGCTGAAGTTACAGGTAGTTACGAGCTCACTGATACAGGTGCTGGGAATGGAATTCCAGTGCTCTGCAAGAGCACTACACACTCTTAACTACTGAGCCATCTCGTTAGTCCAGTCACCTTGTCTTCTGAGCCTGGGTCTCTCCCTGCACCTGAATGAAGGGAGACTGTCTGACTGGCAAGCCTCTGGGATCCTCTTGTCTCCACTGCCTCAGCACTGGGCTTGCAAAGGCACACCCAGCACACTCGATTTTTACATGGGTCCTGAGGATCCAAAACAAGGGTGTCATGCTATCACTATCCACTGAACTACCTCTCCCCAGATTATAATTAGAACTTATATGCTCTAAAGACTGAAATTCTCTATTCTCAGAGTCCTCCTGGACTATAGACTATTATGTGATGTGTGGGGACTAAGCTAGGCAGAGCATCATTTCCTAGATCTTCTAGATCTAATAAAAAAAAAAGAAAGAAAGAAAAAGAAACAAGAAAACAATCAGCATTTGGCAGGAGGCTGGGCTTTGACTCAGAAGCCCGGTCGATAGATGCTCAATAGAAACAAACGTCACACTTACCGCTAGCTCTTCTGTTCTATCTAGGAACCTGGGAAAAGCAAAGAAGAGCAGGAGAGTTTGATTTACTGACTTTCCTAGTATTCCTCACATAAGAGACAAGCTCTAGAAGTAACACAGTTCCCCTCATCTCTACACACTGAGGTAAACCCTACTCCTACCTCCTACGCCTACTTTTTACCACCTCGACCTTCAGACACCTGCTGACTTTCATATGTACTTGTCCCTCTGTCCTATGTTCTAAGTAAAACAGGCAGAGCAGGGCAGTAGAGCTTAAATACAGCCCTAGTCAATGGTCACCTACCCGTGTGTGTTTCTTCACTCAAAACCAAAACACTGTTTTTGTCTTCTGTTTCCTCATTATTCTAAATAGACCATAATTAACAACATTGCCTTGGCACAGAAGGATGCTTGACAAGACTTCCTTGGCTGGAAAGGAAAGCCAGAGAGAGCAAACAGCCTTCGTCTGTGAGCATGTCTTCTTTGGCAAACTCCTTTCTGACTTAACCAGGTAAAGTGCTTTTCCACATCAGTCTGTGGGGCAGCTGTTCATCACTGTTCTAGCCACAGGGTAAATGAGTTACTCTGGGCCACAAAACCTAAACAGAGGTTCTCACACCTGACATTGAGGAAAGGATAAAACATGCATACAGTTTAATCCAAGGGCAAAACATCATCTCCATTTACTGGAATGAAACAGAAGGAAAAGGTGGTAGAAGGCCACCAAACAACAGCCCAGCCCGCTTTCACCTCAATTCCCAGCACAGCCCAAATCTTAAGGCTTCAAGGAGACTTCTCTGGGTAATCCTGACTGGAAAGCTATAGCTCCTCCCCCTTTTCTATTGCACTCTCACTGGCATCACTTGAATAAGAGGAGGGCACCTTCAATCAAGGGTTGTATAAGAAAATGCTTAGCAAACATTAATACCACACACTAATGCTAGCCTGCTCCAGTCAGTCTTCATGACCCTCTACTCTGTGGCAGACACACCATCTCCATTTTACAAGGGAAAAAGCCACTCTCAAAAAGTCTAGTGACTTGCTCAAAATATCAGAGTAGCAAGTAACAACCATACATAGTCCAGGTATGTTTGACTGTGGGGCCTGGTTCGACTACATGGTGGTATAACTATCCTAGCACGTTTCAAGATCTTGCTTTCTAGCTGTTGCTGGAAACGGACAGTGTCTTCAATTATTTTGCACACTCCAACCCCAGAGTGTTCTGAAAACATACCTGATGAACTTCATAGACCCGAAGCCCAATTCTTACCTGAAGAGATCTAAAAGCAGCTTTTGGTCCCCTATTTCTTTGAGGAAATGAATGAGATGTCTCAGTGCAACCTGGCGAACCTCCAGCTCTCGGAAAAGGATCTCTGGTACGTTAGGTAGAGAAGGAAGTCAAGTTTCCTGGCACTCAAGTCTGAGTGTGGCCTCTCCACTCCTACACCCCACGCATCATCATCTGAAAGCCCAGCAACAGCTAAGGATGGTTCCTCCTGGTCTCCATCCGCCATCTTTAACAGCTTCTATGCTCTAGAGCAGTAGTTCTCAACCTTTCTAATGCTGTGACCTGTTAATATAGTTCCTTTTATTGTGGTGACCCCCAACCATAAAATTATTTCACTGTTACTTCATAACTGTAATTATGCTATTGTTATAAATTGTAATGTACATATCAAATATGCAGGATATCTGATCTGCGACCCCTGTGAAAGGGTCATTTGACCCCTCAAGGGGTCATGACCCATGGGTTGAGAATCTTTGCTCTGGAGCAGCATTCAGCCACTCAGTCAGCCTTTTAGATTTCTTTTTTTTTAAAGATTTATTTATTTTATGTATATGAGTACACTATAGCTGTCTTCAGACACACACCAGAAGAGGTCATTGGATCCCATTACAGATGGTTGTGAGCCACCATATGGTTGCTGGGAATTGAACTCAGGACCTCTGGAAGAGCAGTCAGTGCTCTTAACCGCTGAGCCATCTCTCCAGCCCCTTGCCTTTTAATTCTTTCTTTTTTTTTTTTTTTGGTTTGGTTTTTCGAAACAGGGTTTCTCTGTGTAGCCCTGGCTGTCCTGGAACTCACTCTGTAGACCAGGCTGGCCTCGAATTCAGAAATCCACCTGCCTCTGCCTCCCAAGTGCTGGGACTAAAGGCGTGCGCCACCACCGCCCAGCTGCCTTTTAATTCTTAATTAACACTAACATCAGCACCTCTCGAATCCTCAAACACACAGCCCACGTGTCCCCAAGGAGGCTAATGTAGCCCCACCCCACAAGCTGCCCTTAGAGGTGTGATGTGGGTCACCCAACTATCTCTGAACCAGATTTAATCCTGGTGAACTCTGCTCTAAAATCCACATGTGCTGCTGAGAGGAGACATACTTCAAACCATGCTCACCTTTGCTCAGGGTCCTCTTCAGGAAGATCAGAACCTTGAGGAAAAGAGACAAAGACTGTGCATCCTTTCACAAAAGGTGCCCTGATGACCTCCTCTCTAGGAATGAGGCCAGCAACGTGTTAAGGATCACTGCAGGCAGACATATCCCCTCTGTGGGACAGAAAGAAAGGATGGACTTGTGGAACTGAGCCACACCCACCGTGTCCACACTGCCTCCTGCCTGCTGAGGAGCTACTCTCACAGTGCTGGTGCCATGGTACTCAGCATAAGACAGAACAGCCAGCCTTCTGCTCTCTGGTTACACCTAACAGTTCCACACAGAATGTACGTTCTTCCACCTAAGGCGGGTGCATAGCGTTCTGAGAGACCTATGCCTCGGAGAGAAAGCCAGACTCTTGACATGCAGCCCAGACTTTTCAGTTAGTACCAACTGAAGGGCTGAGAGCACATCTCACACTTACTGCAGTGATGACGTTTCCATCATGCATGCTAACTGCCTCCTCTAGGAGCTGCAGCTTGTCCTGGAGGGAGCGGAAGCGCTCCAGTGAACAGACCTGTGGAGTAAGAACATAAGTGTCAGAAAGGCCACTGCCCATATTCCCTGTCACCGGATAGTGAGGGACAGGTAACAAAGGAAGCGGCCAGAGAGCACCTCTATATTACACTGGTCTCTGTGCTCTGTGAGCCTGCAGCCCCCACACCCTATCCAGCAATGTGATGCCGTGTAGAATACCGACATCTCCAAGTCTTGGCCAAGTCAGCACATCATCACTTATTTTTCCTCCATGTGCAGTTTCTGTACATACTAAAACCTACCTTGTGCAAGCATATAGCTTAGCTTTGAAAGTACCTACATCCTAGTACCCACTACAAGAGAGACACATGCAACATTTCTATCACCCTTAGACAGCCGCTCTGTTCACACTGACTTTAATGTTCTCCTGTTTCTAGCCACCAACTGCTCATCTGCTCTCAGTCACAGTTGTTCTGTCTTTCCTACAATTTCACACAAGAAAGACCATCACTAAACAATCAACCAATTTTTCAAAAACTACTTCCAAATTTCAATGAAAAAGTTTTTTTGACAATGATAAGATTGGAATCTTAAAAAACAGAAAAAAATTTACCTCAACACTCATCCCACAACATGTACAAAAATGAGCTCACAATGTATCACTCTCTTTTTCTGTGGGGTTGAAGCAGCCTTGAAAGGCGGCTTCCACTATGCACCCGGCTGGCCTCAAACTTGCTATGTGTCCTGTGTTGCTTTACACATGTTATCTTCATGCCTCGGACTCCCCAATGCTGGGCTTACAAGCGTGCTCCACACATAGCAACTCTTTTTTTTTTTTTAAAGATTTATTTATTTTATTTATGTGAGTACACTGTATCTGTCTTCAGACACACCAGAAGAGAGCATCAGATCCCATTACAGATGGTTGTGAGCCACATGTGGTTGCTGGGAATTGAACTCAGGACCTCTGGAAGAGCAGTCAGTGCTCTTAACTCCTGAGCCATCTCTCCAGCCCACACACAAAGCAACTCTTATCCACCACTGTTTTCCCCTATGCAGCAAAGCAACTCTAAACCCAGAGTCAAAGATCTCAGAGCTGGCTTCTAACTGTAGTAGATTTGCTTTGCTCCTGAAAACCACTCCACTTCAGGAATGTGAACTGGAAAGGATGTCAAGAAACCCTTCCCGTGGGAACACACTACTCATCCTGCCAAAGAATCCTGGAGGAGTTTCCTCTTCAGTAGCCTTACCTTGCCCCGGCGGAGACGACGCACTGTATCACTGATGCTCCAGTCATTGCTGTAATCCTGGAATATTAGCAACACATGAATTGTACAGTAAGGACTCAGAATTGCTAGAACCAGCTTGATGCCTCAAATTCAGTTTTTGCCCCCATAAGAGAAATAATCTGTGGGAAAGAATTGACTAAAAAATAAAACTAGAATGGTCCTGTTCTGAGTTTGGTCTTGGTTTGAGTTAGTTCGTTCGTTCATTCGTTCATTCGTTCCTTCCTTTCTTCCTTCCTTCCCTCCCTCCTTCCTTCTTTCCTTCCTTCCTTTCTTCCTTACTTTCCATCTTTTTCTTCCTCCTCCTTCTCTTTTCTTCTTCTTCCTTCTCTCCTCTTCCTCTTCCTCCTCCTCCTCCTTCTCTCCTCCTCCTCCTCCTCCTCCTCCTCCTCTTCCTCCTCTTCCTCCTCCTCCTCTTCTTAAGGTTTTTGTGACAGGGTTTCTCTGTGTGGCTCTGGCTATCCTAGAACTCACTCTGTAGACAGGTTGGCCTCAAACTCAGAGAGATCTACCTGTCTTTGTTCTGATGCTGGGATGAAGGGTGTGCACCATCACCACCTGGCCTTGGTTTGAGTTTCTGAAGGAACTAGAGCAAGGGTGACACAGACCAAAGAGGGACTGACCAATAACAAAGCCCAGAACCCTCTGCCGACTGGCTCAGAATTCCAAACTTTATATGCAACCAGTCAGAGACTCCCAATAGTTAGTACCATAGCCAAGAAAAGGAAAGACTTTGACACATAGCTCCCTTCTAACCTTAGAATATAGTTTCTTCCTTTTGAGTCAATTTGCTTGTTTAGAATGCTTGGTAGGAATCTGACCTCCACCATCTCCCAGACCACAGTGACAATCATTCAGTTTCACATTAAACTCCCAAATGGCAGCAGGAGTAAGAAAGCATGGGGGCCCTGTGTTAGAACATAGATTTGAGTCCAAGTTATCCTTTCCCGGCTGTGAGAACCCAACAAAGGACTACTGTTAAAAGACGACTTTAGTGTTCTCATCTATAAGAGGGGTCATGCGCTACATAATGACGTTCTGGCCAATGCATATACAATGACAGTCCCAAAGACTTAATGGAGCTGAAAGTTTCCTGCTGTCTAGTGTGTGTGTGTGTGTGTGTGTGTGTGTGTGTGTGTGATACAGTTGTGTGTGCATGTGGAGGCCAAAGGAAGATGTCCTGCCCTATCAACTCTCCACATACTCTCTTGAGGCTGTGTCTCAGTGTACCTGGAGCTTGCTGTTTTTCAGCTGATGGCCAGCAGAGCTCGGCGATCTTCCTGTCCCTGACCCTGCAGCACTGAGGCTTCAGAAACATGCAGTCATGCTTGCTTTTGATGTGGGCACTGAGGGTCCAAATACAGGTTCTCACGCTTGTGCAGCAGGCACTCGTTATCATGGGGCGGCTCTCCAGCCCCTTACCTAGCATTCGCACTATACCTTTTCTACATTTAGATACAAAAATACTTGTCATTATGTCCCATGGGTAAGTAATAGGCAAACGGTTTCACATCCAAACACAAGGGATGTAGAATATGGGCAAACAGGTTCACATCCTAATGAAATGGATACAGAATACAGGCAAACAGGTTCACATCCAAACACAAGGGATGTAGAATACAGGCTATCACATCTAAGTCTGTGGGAACACATCCTATGTTTGCACAAAGATGAAACTACCTAGCAACACATTTCTCAGAATGTGTCCCTGCCATTCAGTGACAAATGACTGTAACAGCTACTCAAACGGCAAAGCACTTTATACTGTGTAAGTGTCACAAGAAGATGTATGAAGATGTAACTCAAGGTGAACACGGTGGCTCACAACTATCATGTCAGCACTCAGAAGACGAAGGCAGAAAAATTACCCTAAGTTCCAGACAAGAGTGGACTATCTGGTGGGTGTCAGGCTCCAGCATGGGCTACAGAGGGAGACTCGATTTCAAACCAACAAAATGAGGGCTGGTGATATGATTTTGTAGGGGAAGACACTGGTTGCCAAACCTAATGACTCAAGTTCAATTCCCAGAACCTGCATGGTAGAGGGAACCAACTCCCACAAACTGTTCTCCGAGTGCCACACTTATAACTGGCATGTGGCCAACACACACACACACACACACACACACACACACACACACACACTAAATAAATAAATAAATAAATAAATAAATAAATAAATAAATGTAAATTTAAAAAGAAGTAAGTAACAGAGGGGAGAAGGGGGAAAAAATTCTGTAACTCACCCTGAATTCTCCCTTAGGCCTCCCCAGCTCTGGAGCATAACTTTTGGCAGATGTGTCTGAGAGAGCTGAAAAGGAAACAGGAACCAGTTTAGAAGGCATTGTACAACCTGTTTCTTATCCTTCTTTCCTCTCCTTGCTTCTTCCCCACTTGCTGTGTACGTGCATGAGAGTGTGTGTGTGTGTGTGTGTGTGTGTGTGGTACCTTACCAAGAGTGTGGAGGTAGAGGACAACTCTGAGATTAGGAATCAGACTTGGGTCATCTTGCTGGTGAGGTTTGAATAAGAACAGCCCCCATAAGCTCCTATATTTGAATGCTTAGTCTCCAGAGAGTGGGGCTATTGGAAAAGATTAGAAGAATAAAGAGGTGTGGCCTTGTTGGAGGAAGTATATCACTGGGGCAGGCTTTGAGGTTTCAAAAGACCATGCCAAGCCCAGTCTCTCTCTCTCTGCCTAAAGATCAGGATGTAGTTCTCAGCTACTGCTCCAGCACCATGCATGCTGACATACTTTCTGCCATGATGACAATGGACTAAACCTCTGACACTGTAAGCCAGCTCCCGATTAAATGCTTTCCCCTATAATAGTTGCCTTCATCATGCTAACTTTTCACAGCAATAGGACACTAAGACGACAGCCTATGTATAAATTTCTCTACCCACTGAGCTATCTCACTGGGACATTTTTTTTTTTAAACAAAACAAACAAAACCCCCACTCTTTTGTCTCCTGAGTAGCTCCATGGCCAAAGGCAGAGCTCTGTTCTTTCCTGATTGCGGCCCTAGCAGTCATCCCTGGCAATGGAGCCTACATGGCTTCTGCCTCCTCACTTAGTACCAGACATTTTCTCTACTCACCAATTACTATCTGTCCCCATGACTCTCCAGGCTGTACCCAAATCACTAACATCCCCCAGAGCAATCAAGAAAAGGGGCCGATGCTTACCATCAGAAAGGGACTGGAAACTCCCAGGTCTAGTTCTACCTAAGGGAAAGAACAGAGCAGAAAGAGGCCAACAGTTCAAATCAGACCACCCATGGCTGAGGACACAGGGCATACAGAGCCTGAAATATGGAGAAACAGGGGTTAAAAAGCTTTTATTGGGGGCTCGGGAGATGGCTCAGAGTTAAGAGCACTGGCTACTCTTCCAGAGGACCAGAATTTGATTCCCACCACCCACATGGTGGCTCACAACCATGTGTAACTCCGGTTTGAGGGGCTGCAACATCCTTTTCTGGTCTTTGTGGGCATCAGGCATGCAAATAGTGCACAAACATACATTGTAGGCAAAATTCTCATATATATAAATAAAATAAAAGTCTTTATTCAACTTCAGAAATCTGATGTGCTAGTAAAACAGGGGACAGAGAGGAATATTTTAAGTGTAGTAAAATATACAAGGCATACAATGTGCCATTCTCCATCATCGTTAAGTGTAGAGCTCAGCGGCATGAAGTGCACTCACACTGTCCATCCAGTTCCAGAATGTGCACCATCCCTGAGACCCTGTGCCGTGCAGGAATTCTCCATTGCCTCCACCCCAGCCCTGAGGAAACTGCTGCCCTCGCTTCTGTCTCTGTGAACTGTCTACCCAGCTGAATGAGGTCACATGGTATTTGTCGGGTGGTTTATTGCACCCTGTGTAATTCCCTTAGGCCCATCCCTATTATAACACATATCTTGCATTCTCTTTTAAGACTAAGCAGCAGTCTACTGCATGTGTATTCAATGTTTTGCTTATCCTTTTAGCCCACAATGGACAGATACACTGTCTTAACCTTTTTGGCTTTTGAATAATGCTTCTTCAAATATTAGCATAAAAGCATCTGCTCAAGTCCCTGCATTCAATTCTTTTTGGTAAGTACCTAATTGCAATGCGAGCTCACAGGCTAATCCTTTGTTCAACTCTTTTAGAAACTGCCACACTATCTTCCACAGTGGCTGCACAATTACACATTCCCACCAGGGACACCAAAGGTTCCCATCAGGATGGCATGAAAGGCAAGAAGGAGTTTTGATGTAGGCAAATTTCTTACTACCTGACACATGGCTCTCAACTTCATTCATGTTCTACAACCCAGGCTAATGCCTGGGAATTTTTCATTTCTTCAGATCCTAGTACTCAGCTGCCTGCTCAAATGAGAATTCTTTTGCAGTCAATAAAAACATCAGCTTGATCATGTTCCTAATGAAAGCAAAACCAAACCAAAACCAAGCAATCCGTGTCCCTTACCCAGCACGCTTTACCTCTGAAGAAGCTGCTGAGGGAGTAAGCAGAAGGAGGCTTGGGGAGGTGTGTGGAGACGCTGTTCCGGCCCTTTAGCTGTTCCCGGCCCTCAGGTGCTGACCCGCTACTCCCAGCAGTCTCTTTGATGGACCATGAGATACCTGCAGGGTCGCACAAACTAAGTAAGCCTCTTCCAAATCAGTCCTTGACACCCAACACTAACTTTGAACCTGTTCAAGCCCCAGTCCTGTGGCCAGCAAGAGGCCAGGAAAGATCTAATCAAATAGGCTAATCATTAGAGAAATTGACAAAGGAATGAATAAATAGAAGACAATCCAAGCAACCTTAAAACAGATGAAAAGATGCTCTGGCTCTCCTGGTTCTTGAGCAATTATTAAAATAACTTATTTAGCAGATCATGTGGAGTATCAGGGCTTTTTCCTCTTTCTACTTCACTCATTTGTTTGTTTGGTTTTTGTTTTTGGAGGCAGGTAGCCTTGGCTGTCCTGGAACTTGCTTTGTAGACCAGGCTGCCCTCAAACTCAAGAGTTCCACCTGCTCTGCCTCCCAAGTGCTGAGATTAAAGGTATGCACCATCATGCCCAATTTCTTTTTTGTTTTTAAATCATGCTATACTGCCTTCTAGGAAAAACTTTCAATTAAAAACACTTTAAAACTCAGATAGAAAAGTGGAGAGAAGAGAATTAGAGTCTATAAAGAAATTAAGTGGTATCATTTTTTTTGTTGTTGTTTTGTTTTTCGAGACAGGGTTTCTCTGTGTAGCCCTGGCTGTCCTGGAACTCACTCTGTAGACCAGGCTGGCCTCGAATTCAGAAATCCGCCTGCCTCTGCCTCCCAAGTGCTGGGATTAAAGGCGTGTGCCACCACTGCCCAGCTAAGTGGTATCATAAAACTAAGAATTGATGGAGAAGTACAGTAGTTCTGCCAACCTGTTATGAGGATTTAAGTTAACAACTCCCAAGTGTGACCACATATGGACTATCTGCACCAACGTGTGTGTGTGTGTGTGTGTGTGTGTGTGTGTGTATTCCCGAGACTGTCACTCAGTAGTGGATCATGCATTTAATTCTCAACACATACACACATGCCCCTCCCCCACAAAAACCTACTGAACAAGGCTCTCCAGGGTGAAGCCTAGGAACCTGTAATTTTAACGAGCACTGCAATAGTCTGAAGTAGCCTTCCAAGCATGGCTCCAGAAGTGCAGATCCAGGAAGCCAAATAAGCATTACTGTGTGTGTCTCCACACGGCTCTGCCTGCTACTCAGCTCCAGGCTGCATCATCTGAGGACAGCAGAACTGTTTCTGACCAGCACTGAGGGGAGACAGGTACACCCTTCATTACTGACAGGAACCCTCACAGAGTCTCTTCCGCTTACTTCCCACAGGTTCTCCAGTCCAGCTGACTCGCTCCAGGTCATCGTCATCGTCGTCATCCACGAAGTCTCGAAGGCTATTCACTGCCCGTTTGGATTCCTTTAACTGCAGAGGGACGTGAAGCAGAATAGTCTGGCAGTCCTTACTTCTCCCTTGCTCACTGGTAACCAAGAAGGCTGAACAAGTGTGTCTCAATGATTGCCAGTGACTATCTGGAGTCCTAACCCAGCCTAGAAATCAGACTCCACTGTACACACCACTGCAGTCCAGTTCAAGGTTCAAAGCCACTTGTGAATTCTATCATATTCTAACTATGACTTGTTTGCAAGTCTGAGTGAATTTTATTCACTTCTCCAAAAATGACTATTCCCAAATAGGTCAATTTTCAAAACCAAGTCATCACAGTACAGCGGTGTGTGCCTACAGTTCCAGCTGCTAGGGGCAAAAGCAGGAGAATGGCTTGAATCCAAGAACCTGCAACCAGTCAAATAACATACAAAGGTTCCATCTCAAAAATGGCAATGCTATAAACTAGGTGTGCTGGTTCACGCCTATAATCCCAGCACTCATGAGACAGAGGTAGCTATAATAGAAGAAAAAAATTTAGGGGAAAACCCTGGGATAGTGGACCCAGCAGCACACCCTTAAGCACTCAAGTGACAAAGGCTGGCAGATCTCTGTGAGTTTAAGGCTACACAGGGCTACATGGTGAGACCTGTGAAAGAAAGATGGAGAAAACTAGGGGAGAAAATGAGAAAACAAAACACAACAGGACCCTGTAGGAAAGCTCAGCAGGTGTCTTAGTGTCTCTATAGCTGTGATGAAACACCATGACCAGAAAACAAGTTGGGAAGGAAAGGGTTTATTCGATTTACACTTCCACATTGCTGTTCATCACCAAAGGAAGTCAGGACAGGAACTCAAGCAGGGCTGAAACCTGAAGGCAGGAGCTGATGCAGAGGACACAGAAAAGTGCGGCTGACTGGCTTGTTTCCCATGGCTTGCTCAGCTTGCTTTCTTATAGAACCCAGGACCACCAATCCAAGGATGGTACCACCCACAATGGGCTGGGCCCTCCCCCAGTGACCACTAATCAAGACAATGTCTTACAGCTGGATCTCATGGAGGCATTTCTTCAACCTCAGGTGAGACAGAGTTGTCCTGTCTGATGGCTCTAACTTATGTTAAGTTGACACACAGCAGGTGAGACATTTGCCACCAAGGAGCTCAATCCTCACATCCCACATAGTAGAAGGAGAGAACTGACTTCTACAAGCTCTTCTTTGGCCTTCACATACAAACAATGGCACATGTTCACCTTACACATAAATAAAATTCTTTAAAAGTAAAAAAGGAGACAGAGGCAGGAATATCAGAAGTTGAAGATCTTCATACACTATCAGTTTTGAGGTAGCCTTGGTTACACGAGATCCTATCTCAACAACATCAAGAAAAGTAAACAGTACTAACAACAAGGATAAATTTATCACATGAATAAAATATCTGTCATTTTTTTTTTAATTTTTTTTTTTATTTATTATATGTAAGTACACTGTAGCTGTCTTCAGATACCCCACAAGAGGGTATCAGATATCATTACAGATGGTTGTGAGCCACCATGTGGTTGCTGGGATTTGAACTCATGACCTCTGGAAGAGCAGTCAGTGCTCTTAACCACTGAGCCATCTCACCAGCCCGTCATTTTTTAAAAAGGTAACAGTAAGGGTAAAGTTAGTTTTTATAATCTTTCTGGCTCTTTTTTAAGGGTGTCTTTTCATGAAGGTTACTATAGTTTGTTTTATATAGTTGCTATAGTCTTGCTACTTCTAATTTTAATTTACGGTGTATGCATGTGTGTATCATGCGTTTGTACAAGTGTGCCCATTCCACTGCACATGAGGGCCACAGGCAGTGCTGGCTAGTTTTATGTCAATGTGATACAAGCTAGAGATGCTGGGGAAAAGGAAACCTTAACTGAGAAAATGTCCTCCCCAGACTGGCCTGTGGGCAGTACTACTCCTCTGAGCTGGTGGTCCTGGGTGCTATAAGAAAGCAGGATGGGCAAGCCAGTAAGCAGCCCTCCTTGGCTTCAGTTTTTGTCTCTAGGTTCCTGCCCTGACTTCTCTCAGTGATGGAATGCAACCAGAGAACTTTAAGATGAAATAAGCCATTTCCTCCTCGAATTCCTGTTGGTCATATTTGTCTCAGCAACACAAACCTAAGTAAGCAAGACAACTTTATGGAGTCTGTTCAGAAGACTAAATTCAGGTCACCAGGATCATGGCAAGAACCTTCACTGATGAACCATTTCATAGGCCACTATATAGTTTAGATTTGGAATGTCCTCAAAAGGGCTATATGTTCAAAATTCAGGCTTCAGGGTAGCCCTGTGAGGAGGCAGTATAACCTAAGAAGTGTAGCCTAGTAGAAGCTCCTTGGGCCATTGGAAGAGTTCTTATAGGAGATTGTGGGACTCTGCCATGTCCTACTCCTCTTTGCTTTCTAGCCATGTGGTAAGCTGTTTTGTTCTATTGTGTGATTGCACCATGAAGTGCTGTCTATCCCAGGTCTGAAACAACAGAGCTAACCAACCACAATCTAGAACCTTAAAAACTGAGCCAAAGTGAGGCTTTTCTCTGGATCAGCTGATTACCTTGGGTATTTCATATAATGATAAAAACCTGACTAATACACAGGCTTTTCTGAAGATCTGACATTAGCCTACTGGAGATGAGAAGACACTGTAGAGACACATCCAAGAGTAAGGTATGGCCCTAAGCACTTGAGGAAACCTACCTGTGAGAGCTCATCATCCTCATCATCGAAAGTGAACGCCTTGAACTTGGAGCTGTTCCAGTATTCCTCCTCATCACCTTTTGTCCGGCTCATCTGGAGGGAAAGGAAGACAGGTACAGTCTCTTCAAAAAGTGGTCCACTACAAACAGCTCCCAGAAATAAGGGATGTAGAAAGGAGTCTGTAAAGTACCTGCCATGCCAAGTCAGATCCTTGGGTTTCCAGCTCATCAGATCATGTTAGATAATCCAATTAGCCACAAACATTCATTCCTGAACCTCTATTGTATTCAAGTACTCAGATATTATGAGAAGTATGAAAAGTACAAGTTACAGTCTCCCTCCTGAAGGGCCTCACTAGAACTAGGGTGCCCAAGCAAAGGGGATACTATAGGAGAGGCAAATGCTGTAAGGATTCATCATAACTTTGCTGAACACACAAAGATCAGCCAAAGCTCACCTCAAACAGAATAAGCAAATTCATGTATTAACATGTATTTACTGAGTGACACCTCTGCACTGTGCTGCTAAGCCCTGGGGACACTACAGCTGACCACAGCCAACAGATGTCCCTCTCTTCCAGTATGCTCTTTAAGTGCCTGACATAAATGAAAGGAAAGTGATTAAAAGAAGCAGAATTATCTTGCCTGTATCATCAACTCACAATTATTTTATTATTCACTTGGCTAGTTATGGGGCCAAGTTCTGAGATCATGACCAAGAAAATATATATTAGCTAAAAGATCCCAAATTATTCTCATGACTGCTCTAAAATTAGGTATTGTTCTGAAAAAAAACTGAAAAAAACAAAAATAAACAAACAAACAAACAAACCAAGTTTTTCTTTTCTTTCTTTCTTTCTTTTCTTTTTTTTTTTTTTTTTTTTTTT